CTATAAACTTCACTGCAAGCTTTAAAAGTACTTTTTTACTTCTTCTATTTAAAAAAATTACAATTATTTGGGGCTGGAAAGATGGCTCAGTGGTTAAGAGCACTGGCTGCTCTTGCAGAGGACACAGATTCAATACCCGGCACCACATGGCAGCTGAAAATGCCTGTAACTCCAGTTTCAGGGGTTCCCACACCCTCTTCTGGCCTCCATGAGTACCAGGCTTGCACATGGTACACATAAATACATGCAGGCAAAGTACCCACACGTATCTAGTAACATTTTAAAAAGAACAATTGTTCATTTTTTTCCGTGTGGTTGGTAATGGGAGCATGCTGTGGGCTGGTGTGGAGGTCCGAGGAAACCGTGCAGGATTTGATTGACTCCACCCTGCGGTCTCAGAGATTGTCCACAGGTTGTCATGCTCAGTGTGATGGCAAACACTGCTGCCCACTACCTGCTCATCCATCTTTCCGGCTCTCTTAGCAGCTTTTGTTTCCATACAATTTTTTAGTTCTTGGATATTCAGCATAGTAATTGTTTGTGATAATTCTTTATTTACTTAATAGATGGCTGTTAAACCTACATTTGTAGGATACCCAATTTTTAAAAGACCGAAGCAACATAAAATTTGCTTTTATGTTATATCTAATTAATGATTGACAAGCCAAGTTTGTTCCTGGAGTGAACCTGGTCAATGATGCTAGCATTCTTATTCTTTAGAAAGTTGATTTACTTAGAGCTAGCATTCTATTTTATTAGAAGAAAACACTATGTACTAATAAGAAATTTTCTAATGTAAAATTTATTTAGATGAGAAACTAAAGTCATGGAAGCTAAACAAAACTTGACATGGCTTTCTGACTGCATGATGGAAGAGTTCTGTTCAGTAGAATGCTTGCGAGCCTGTGACCGCGCCAAATATGAAAATACTAGAACAAAAGGATATGCTAGGTGTTTGAAATGCCAAGTTATGTGTGATGCATTTGTTTGGGGGAACTGTAATTAGGAAATTCTTTTGTATTAGTTTTGATGATGAGAACATTTTGGAAAGGCATCAGTCTGTTTTGTTTTTAGAGAGTGTCTATGGGACTTTCTTTAGGTCTTATGGTGTTCTCCCCTAGAGCAAAGGGGAACCACTGGGTTAAATTGCTTCCTTCTCCAAGGTCTGCAGCTCATGAATGATGGTGCCGGTGCCGGAACTGTCCTCTCTTACTCTTCTACTGCCTTCCTCATGAGCAGATCGCACAGTATTACACGCTTAGGCTTAGGACTTGGCTCCTCTCTAGGCACCAGCTTTTTCTGACAAATAAATGATAGTTGACTTCAAGCTCACGGAGTCCCACAGATTCTGTTTCCCCGAGGGCTGAAATTAAAGGTGTGCACCACCATCCCTGGCCACTACTTAATACTTTTGACAAAGTCCCAAAGGTCCTAATAAATATATTTTCATGGCCTAAGTTTTAAAGAAAAGGTCATGATAAATACACTTTTATGGCAGATTTTTTTTTTAAAGATAGATATTTTATACCTTTTTAGGAGTTCAGATCTATCCCGTCTCATGGGAAGACCTAGCGTAAACACTAGCAATAATATTTTACATTATTGCCTTGGAATTTCTCTTGGAAATCCAGTGTGTGATTTGGAAATTTTTTAATTTTAGGACTTTTAGAGGAGGTTTTTAATACATTTTGTGTGTTTTATATTGGTCATCTTTTTTTTTAACTTTAGTTGAAATTCAAGGAATTCGTTGGATTTGTATATTTTAGAAAGAGTATTTGTATATTTTAGAAATTTAGTTGAAATTCAAGGAATTGGTCAGATTTTGTATACTTAACTTCACTCATTTATACTTAAAATTATAATTTGCAGTTACTCATGATATGATATAAAGCTAATTATATGATTAGCAAGTTCAAAGTATGAGACTTTTAAAATGGAATTCTTTGATTTGTAATATGTGATCTAGGTTCATGAATGTCATTTTCCAACATTTGAAATGTTGTATGCCATTGCCTTTTTTTTTTTAAAGTTTGCTTTAGGACTGGGGGAATGGCTTAGTTGGTAATTTACTCTTGTGAAAACCTGAGGACCTGAGTTCAGATCCCAGCACCCTTGTGAAAACTAGGTACAGCAGGACCGGCCTGGAATCCGGGAGGTGGAAACAGGAGGCTCCCCGGGGTTTTCTGGCCCTAGCCAGATGGGCAAGCTCCAGGTTGAGAGAGAGAGAGTTGTGATGAGAAAGACGATGCCATCAGCCTCTGAACACATGTACACACGAGCACACAGGCATTCACACGTACACACGAGTACACAGGCATTCACATGTACACACGAGTACACAGGTACAACGTTTACTTCACAGCCTTGTTTGATTGCTGTTCTGTTTTTAAATAGGCAATTAGCTGGACACTTTTCGTAACATAGTAAATAGGTTCCTATTAATGGAGGGACACGAAAACAGCGCTGGAGAAAGGGAATTCTATTCATGTGAAAGAAAATAAGAATTGTTTTTCTGTTTACAAAATTGTACTTTTAGAGAATGTGTTCTTTCCTGTGTATATTTAGAGGTTCTTTGAAGTTATTAGTCATTAGTATTGAGAATTTTTTATTGCTATATTTGTTGCTTTGAATACATTTAAAAATTTTCAAGTTTAATTCAAGTTTTGTAACTTTTTGTGTACTTTATATTTAAGTTCCAAATTCCTGTGAGTTTTCATATGAAAATCCATGTTGCATTCATGAAGATTTCCCCTTCCCTATATTAGAGCTGAGTAATCTTTACTTTTTCTAGAGAAATATTTTCTCATACTACAGATTTAATTTAGTTAAAATATCTGAATCAAATACATTTTTAATTATAAATCCCAAGCAGAATAAATTATATTATTATCATTGATGTGTTAAAAATTATTTTGAAATGCTTCAGGCATTGGTTCTGTTGTTGATCCATCTTGGTGAGGTATAGGCAGAGCAAAGTATAGGGAATAGCTAATGTTACCTGCCCTTAGAAGTAAAAGGAACTTCATTAAGTTTTGTATCGTCTACACCTGCCTCCCACATTCCAGTATTGTCAATTCGCTAATGGGACTCTTGAGTAATAACTGAATTGCTCTTTGAATAAGGCTATATTTGAATATGGGATACAGGCATGTTTGTCCCTCTGTGTTCATGTGTTTAAAATTTTTATTATTTTTAGATTTATTTATTTTTATGTCTACCTTTTGCCTTTCTGTATATATGTGTACTTTGTGTGTGCCTTATTTCCCCAGAGATCAGAAGAGGGAGTTGGATTTCCTGGAACTCAAATTACAGATGGTTGGGAGCCACTATGTGGCTTTCTGCAAGAACACGTGCTCCTAACCACAGTCTCCTCAGCCCTGTTCATGAATTTCAGATTCCTGCTTTTAGACTATTTAGAAATGATAAGGGTCAACATTAATGCAATGTAAACTACATGCAAATTTCTGTGCCAACTTTATATACATGCTCATCTAATTCTTTTTTTTTTTTTTTTTTTTGTTTTTTTGTTTTTTCGAGACAGGGTTTCTCTGTGTAGCTTTGCGCCTTTCCTGGGACTCCCTTGGTAGCCCAGGCTGGCCTTGAACTCACAGAGATCCGCCTGGCTCTGCCTCCCGAGTGCTGGGATTAAAGGCGTGCGCCACCACCGCCCGGCTCTAATTCTTATATTAAACACATTATTAGGTATTTATTTCACTTTTTGAGATGATGTCTCACTGTATTACCCTAGCTAGTCTCAAGCTTCCAGATTCAGCTATTCTTCCTGCCTCATCCTCCCGAATAGCTGGTACTGCAGGCACACCTCCCCACACCAGGACTGGATGGTTGGTTGGTTGGTTGGTTGGTTGATTGATTGAGTTCCCTCACCTCTTCCTTCCCCTCCTTTCCTCCCTTTCCTTTGTTATTTTTTCTTTCCCTCCCTCCTTCCCGTGTCCTCTCCTGTGCCTTCTCCCTCTCTGATTTCTCCTTTACTGAGGAGTTATTTTCCCACCTGTCTTTATCACCTTCTGTAATGTCATCCCAGTTTGACAGTAAGAGAGAAAAGTTAGGTCAGCTCACTAGCCTTCTGGGGATGTATCTTGAATAGTAGAGAGCATTTCTAGCATGTACATGGCGTTGATTTAGATCCCCATTACTGTGTACACTGGGTGAAGTGGTACTAGCCTGTGTAAACCCAAGGGGAGTCAGAAGTTCAGGCCTTCCTTGGCTCCATAGCAAGTTCAAAGCCAGCCTTAGCTGCATGAGGGCCTGTCTCAGCAGAAAGAAACTGGGAGGAAGAATAAGAAAGGAGCTCGCTAGGATAAAAGCTCTGAGAGGACGGTTTCGTGCAAGGTGGTCCAGGAGCACAAAACCAGCATTCAGCTTGACACTGGTGGACTCGGGGAACTCTTGATTGCTTCTCTCTGCATTAATTTTTTAAAAAAAAACCCTAACAACTTATTTTTCTTCTTTGAGAATTTCACAGTGCACACAACATAGTTCTATTATATGATCATATTCACCCTCCAGACTCCCCCCAACTCTTCCCAGATACACACCCTTCTTCCTCCCTCCACTTCCCAACTTTGTTCATTTTTTAATGTACATGTGATTGATTGAATGGATGAGTACCATGTGTTTGTGGGTGCAGAGGCCAGAAGGGAGTGAGAGATCCCTGGGAGCTGGACTTACAAGCAGTTGTGAATTGCCTGATGTTGGTGCTAGGAACTGAACTTAGGACCTTTGGAAGACTTGCAAGTGCTTATAACCCTTGAGCCATCTCTCCAGGCTCCTACCCCCTTTAAAACTCCTCAGAATCTAGCTTGGCTCCACCTTAACTTTAAAGAAATGCGGTGAGATGATGATAAGCCATAGTAGTCCGAGCTCTGTAAGCACAGATGAATGTCAAGTGTATCTAAATTGAATGGCTCATGTTTGCTCTTATGTTTAACGATGGTATATTCAAAAGTTGTAATAATTGAATATTGACATTTCCCCAAAAGGTTTTGAAAGAGGAAAAGAAGATATTTCTCAAAATAAAGATGACTCTTCACTGTCAATGTCAAAGAGCAAGGTAGGCAAACTGTTGTTCCCAATATGTGGCAGGATGTGTTCCCTGCATTTAAAAGAATGGTCCTGGACTGAAGTCCTGTGAGTGTTGAGAAGAATTTTTGTGTCGGTGTGTTTAAGCCGTGTAGTATATGTGGGAAGTATAAAGGTCTACACTCGGACTGACTGAGGTGCTGCTGAGTACTTGGAAAGTACTGGTTGGTCACTGTTGCTCCCCTCAGAGTGACACTGGCTTTGGTGTGTGGGCTACAGCAGAACTTCTCAAACTGGAATGTGAGAGTGCCATTAAGAGATGTCTCAGGCTTCATAATTCTAACAAAACACCTTTAAGTATTTTAAATGTATTTATATGACAGTCAAAATACATACATTTACCAGGTAATGAACAAAGATCTGTGTAGTGCTATCCTATAATTAAAATAGGGCATTGCTATTCTAAATCAGTATTTTTAAAAACACCACTATAATGATGTGGTGGCCCTCTACAGATTGATAAAGTTGAGTGCGTTTTCAAAATTTGTCAAGGGATTTGACTTTTGATTTGTTTTCTGGTAAGATTTAGTAGCAGCAACAAGAGCTTTCATAGAGAGTTTGGAATCAACTTCAGTGGTTGGAAGACTCTCTCCTTAGCCCAGTGAACTTACTCTGTGCTGTTTACAGCAGTAGCCTTTGCTCATCCTGCCCTGGGTGCTCTTCTCCTGGTCTTAGGAATAGTTGAGAGGATTACGGAGTGTGTTTGGATGCATGCTTTGTACATACTATTCATAGTTAACATTTTATTATTGGGCACATGTGTGCAGGTATATGTGTACATAATGGGCATACGGAGGCCAGAGGAAAAACCATGACTGTTTTTCCCTAGGCACTATCCATCTTGTTTTGAATACACAGGGTCGGTCTTTTGTTGGCCTGGAATTCATTCACCAAGTAGGTGAGACTATCTACAGCGAGCCCCAGAGAATCTGCCTCCCCACTTTTTAGCATTAGAATTACAAGCACACACGGCCATTACCTGTCCCCACCCTGCCACTGTTTTCTGTGGGTTCTGGGGATCTAAGTCAGGACCTCAGGCTTTCCAAGCAAGTGTTTTGTCAAATGCGCATCTCCCAGCTCCAGTGCACTGTAGTTATTATGTAACATTTCCTTTCTTACTCGTTGCAAGGTTTGTAGCTGAGTCCCAGATAACAGGCGTATTAACAAGATAAAAATATGCATATTTATTTAACATTTGACTGCCATGTAATGTTGGAGCCTTCAGAAATGATGACAACCCTCCCCCCAAAAACAAATAGGAAACCTGTCTATTTTTATGTTTTGGTTTGATGGAGAGTACAGGTGTGATTGAGCAAAAAGGATGGCAAAAGTGTCTGAACTAGTTGCACGCTCCTCGTCTAGAATGCAGTGCTCTAGGTTCGGTTCCCAGCTCCATTAAGAATAAACAAAGAAACAAAGAGAATGTTCTAGTTTGCTTTTAATTGCTGTGATAAAATACCGACCAAGCCAGCTCTCCGGAGGAAAGGGTTTATTTGGCGTACACGTCCATGTCACAGTCCGTCACTGAGGGAAGTCAGGGCTGGCTCTCAGTCAGGAACCTGGAGGCGAGAACTGAAGAAGAAACTGAAGAAATGCTGCTTACTGGCTTGCTTAGTCTGCTTTCTTATGTACCCCTGGACCACCAGCCCAGGGCTAGCACCGCCCACAGTGGGCTTGGCCCTCCTCCATCAGTCGGTAATCAAGAAAATGCCCACAAACAATCTGATGGCGGTAATTCTCCAGCTGAGAGCCCTTCTTTCCGGGCCACTCCAGTTTGTGTCCAGTTGACAACCCCCCCCCCCCCCAGCAGAGAGGGTAGTGAAGGGCAGCCCTCAGGCGTGTGTGCTGAGATACAAACCCCCCCAGCAGAGAGGGTAGTGAAGGGCAGCCCTCAGGCGTGTGTGCTGAGATACAACCCCCCCAGCAGAGAGGATAGTGAAGGGCAGCCCTCAGGCGTGTGTGCTGAGATACAAACCCCCCCAGCAGAGAGGGTAGTGAAGGGCAGCCCTCAGGCGTGTGTGCTGAGATACAACCCCCCCCCCCCCAGCAGAGAGGGTAGTGAAGGGCAGCCCTCAGGCGTGTGTGCTGAGATACAAACCCCCCCAGCAGAGAGGGTAGTGAAGGGCAGCCCTCAGGCGTGTGTGCTGAGATACAAACCCCCCCAGCAGAGAGGGTAGTGAAGGGCAGCCCTCAGGCGTGTGTGCTGAGATACAACCCCCCCCAGCAGAGAGGGTAGTGAAGGGCAGCCCTCAGGCGTGTGTGCTGAGATACAACCCCCCCCAGCAGAGAGGGTAGTGAAGGGCAGCCCTCAGGCGTGTGTGCTGAGATACAAACCCCCCCAGCAGAGAGGGTAGTGAAGGGCAGCCCTCAGGCGTGTGTGCTGAGATACAACCCCCCCCAGCAGAGAGGGTAGTGAAGGGCAGCCCTCAGGCGTGTGTGCTGAGATACAAACCCCCCCCAGCAGAGAGGGTAGTGAAGGGCAGCCCTCAGGCGTGTGTGCTGAGATACAACCCCCCCAGCAGAGAGGGTAGTGAAGGGCAGCCCTCAGGCGTGTGTGCTGAGATACAAACCCCCCCAGCAGAGAGGGTAGTGAAGGGCAGCCCCCAGGCGTGTGTGCTGAGCTTCTTCTTGGTGTCTCTGTGTCATTGGATCCTCCTGTAAGTATAGGAGGGCATTTGCTGCAGGGAAAAGTTGAGTTTCTTTTATGGCCTGTTCCCAGGAAGAAAGAGAAGATACAGCGGAGAAGGGCCTTCTTCCTCTGCACTTGTCCTGTAGTTTCCTTCATCTTAAAATAAGCAGAATGCTACGATGCTGGGTTTGGAGCACTGTGTGCTGGGCTCTGCTGGGCCAGGGTTTCTCTGTGTAGCCCTGGCTGTCCTGGAACTCGTGCTGTAGACCAGGCCGGCCTTGAACTCACAGAGCTCTTCCCGCCTCTGCCTCCCAAGTGCTGGAATTAAAGGCATGTACCACCACCGCCTGGCTTATAACTTGTAATTTTTAAAAATCAAAGAAAAATGTACCCTAAGCACTGTAGCTAGAAATACAGTAGACTTATTTTTTAAAGTTTGTTTCTACACAGTCGTACCAGAATCGTCGAATATACGGTGTAGGAATATTCCTGCTCAGAAGCTCTAAAGCATAAATACCAAGACCGATGTGCCACAGCCTTCTAGTTCCATCTGTGTAGGTGCAGAGCTAGGGCAGGGACTGGGGAGCCCAACTTTGCAGACGCTGATGGCCACTAATGACCAAGACAGACGACATGTGCCTTGTTACACCTGTGCTTTGTATAGAAGAGTATTGAGGGTGTTGATCTCTAAATGAAGTAGGAAGTCGACGTCTCCATTATACTAGGCCATCTCAGCTGCTCAGAAACTCCATATGGCTAGTGGCTGCCGTGTCAGAAGACTCAAATGTAGTGAATGGATGAGCACTCTCGGCTCTCTGTGACCCTGTCCTGGAGAAACAAGCAGAACCTAGAGTGAACAGCTCTTAACATGGGAACCTTTGAGATTGGTAACATTATACTCATTCTGCTGTTTTTCAAGAGATCTGTAGGAACTAGCTTGTTCCTAAATATGTTAATGTATACCTACTCATTTTTATTCTTCTTTAAGTTATTCAGGGGAATACATTTAAAATTTAAACATTATTTTATTTTTATGTGTGTAGGTGTTTTGCCTGAATATATATCTGTGCACCACATGTGTGGTGCCCAGAGAAACCATAGGAGGCATTGGATCCCCTGGAACTGGAGTTACAGACAGCTGTGAGCCACCATGTGGGTGTTGGGAATTGGACTCTGGTTCTCTTGAAGACCAGCCAGTGCTCTTAAAGGCCAAGATGTCTCTCCATTCCCCAAACAGCATTTTTTTTTTTTTTTTTTTTTTTTTTTTTTTTTTTTTTTTGGTTTTTCGAGACAGGGTTTCTCTGTGTAGCTTTGCGCCTCTCCTGGAACTCACTTGGTAGCCCAGGCTGGCCTCGAACTCACAGAGATCCGCCTGGCTCTGCCTCCCGAGTGCTGGGATTAAAGGCGTGCGCCACCACCGCCCGGCTCCCAAACAGCATTTTTAAATATCTCTTGTCCATGACAGGAATGGACAAGAGTAATTTGTGTAGTAAGATAAATGGAACCTTGTTGCTAGGATAAGAGGTTTTTGTAACATAGATCCCTTAACTTGATCCTCCAACATCTATGGACCTGCCTATAAGTTCATAAGTTATTACTATTTGTTTGAAAAAGATATGCTTACCTGAATGTTTAAAATTCCTTTTCAACCCAAAGTGTCTTTGTAATCACAGTAACTTACTATTATTCCTTATAAATGTAGTGTTTTGTAGTTTCTAAAGGAAATGAAAAGACATTTTCTACATTAATGCCTTACTCTGAAAGGTGGGTTTTGACTACAGTTAGAAACCTGAATCAGAGTGTGTATACCAAGTATTATGTTAAACACTTTATGTGTGTTACCTTATTTAATCCCCAAAGCAGCCTTGTGAGTTAGCAGTAAACAAGGGTATTTTACTAATGAGGACATTAAGACCTGAGAGATCAATAACTTCTTAAAGTCACATAGCCTGTAAGGCCATAATAGTTAAGTGTGTGTGTGTGTGTGTGTGTTGGGGGGAGGATGCTAGTATTTTAAAAGCCATTTAACAGATTGAAGAAAATCTGTGGGCAGGGGAGAGATGTCCCCTACACACACACACACACACACACACACACACACACACACACACACACACACACCAACGCCTCAGGCAGGTGGGAGAGTTGGCCCTGAGGTCAGTAAGAGTGGGGGAGCTGTCTCTGTCACCCACCAGCTGCAACACTCTGGAGAGCAGGCCCTGTACTTCACTTGGGCAGCACAGTAGAGCTGACTCTGTAGGCGGAGGTATGAGTGAGCCAACCCTGACGTTATGAGCATGAGAGAGCTGTCCCCATTATTCACCTGTCTTGAGGTGGTATAGGGGAGGGGGAAATGCTCAACCCCGCATCCCCCACTCCTACCCATTGGCACCTGAGGCAGGTGGGAGAGCTGACCCTGAGGTCATAAGAGTGAGAGAGCTGTCCCTGCCCCTCATCAGCCAAGGCGCTCAGGAAAGTGGCCCCTATACCTCTCCTGGACAGCACAGAGGAGCTGGCCCTGAAGGTGTAGGCCTGGGGGAACTGAAAGCAGAACTGGCCCCGCCCCTTGCTCATCTCAGCAAGGGACCAGCTAGCCAGGGCAGTGTTGGAACACTCACTCTGGTGGTGAAGACAGGAGAGGTGGCAGGCTGACCAACCCTGCCCCCAGGCCCAGAACCAGGGCTGTGTGTTGGCCCTCCCCCAGTGCTCACCCCATCTGTCATCTGCTGGAGCACACGAGTGGGATCAGTCCTTTGGACCTAGGGCTGCAGGATCTCCATGACACAGGGCAGCAAAAGATGTCCAGGTAGAGTCCCAGTGAGGGTCCAGCGTCATCAATGGTGTAGCAGAGACCAGGGACCTTGAACCAGACCAGTTCTTTGTGATGAACGCCTGCATGGAAAAATGTACAGATAAAGGGGTTTACTGCGTGACTCACTGTGTCACACCGCAGCTTCCATGATGAGATTTTCCCTTTCTCCCCTTTTTTCCTTTTCAGTTTTATTTTGTTTTATTCTGGTGGGGAGGGAGACGGGTGGGTTAGGGAGGCATGATGTGAAAGATGCAGAATAAATAAACAGTTAAATAAAAAGAAATTCTGCCGGGCGGTGGTGGCGCACGCCTTTAATCCCAGCACTCGGGAGGCAGAGCCAGGTGGATCTCTGTGAGTTCGAGGCCAGCCTGGGCTACCAAGTGAGTTCCAGGAAAGGCGCAAAGCTACACAGAGAAACCCTGTCTCGAAAAACAAAAAACAAAACAAACAAACAAAAAAAAGAAATTCTATGTATTAAAAACCTGTGGTCATTATTAAGCTGGTAACCACTCATGTTTTTGAAGGAAGAGAAGCCTACTATAGTGAATGTCTTCAACGAAGAAATAAAGATGGTTCATGTTTTTTGGTTTGTTAAAGGTATGTTAATCAGACTTAGGCCTGGTGGGACATGCCTGGAATTCCAGCTACTTAGGAGACTGCTGAGGCAGGAGGATTGAAAGTTCAAGGCCAGCTCGAGCAGTTTAGTAAAACCCTTTCTCAAAATTTCGAAAAGGAAAAGGGGAGTTGTAGGTGTAGTGCCTGCAGCAGAGCAGTGTTAGCAGCATGCAAGAGGCCAGAGGTTCAACCCCACCACCGAAGGTTAAGAAAGAGAAGGTGCTGGTTCAGAAAGCTGAGGTGGTGATGTTGGACTCACTGTTTTCCACAGCTAGACTGTACAGTATGTCAGAGTCGGGTGAAGGTTTCTGTGTCCTGATTGCCTGTGTCACATGACATGCTTCTAGCCTGCTTATTCATATGACAGTGCAATCTTGTAATAACCAAACCAGATCTTGTCACTTGGAGTTGTTGGGGAAGCATTTTCTCTTGTTTATAAAGAGAAGTTTTCCATTTGATTCTGGTTGCTATACTATATGAGGAGCTTTGAAAAGCAATAAACCAATACAGTGAGATTACTCTATTACTAATTCTGAGGCTCAGAATTAGATAGCTAGACCGAGATACAAAGTCCTGCTTATCTATTTGGTGTCTGTATGATTTGGGGAAAGATACTTAGTCTGTAGGTACAGTCTCCTTATTAGTAAAGGGGGTGCTATCTAGGGTACTATCTGAGGATTGCTTTAATCATGAAGTGGAGTGGTGCGTACACAGTACTTTGTGAGTAGTAAACAGCCATCAACTTCATCCACATTCAGGCCAACAATCTGAGTGTTCTTCATTAGATAGTGTATCTAACGTGCACTCTTCCTAAATGGTTTTGGTATCACAGTGTATGTCGTCACCATGAGAGCTAACAGTAGGGTATTTCAAGCTGAGTTAGGTCAGCAGTGTAAACGTTTGACCCGGCTGATGTCTGTCTTCTGCACTGAAAAGTATCTGCAGTTACTCCATCATCATAACCTCATTCATTCCCCTTTATGGAAAGTACTTCATACCAACCACAGACAAGAAACAAGGCTTTCATGGCATTTTCATTCGGTTGGTTTATCAAAAAAATGTTTAACTCATTCCTTTTCTTCAGCTGGTACACTGCTATCGCCAGTGAATAACGTGGTGCTGTCACCATATGGGAGGAAGGAGTTTGTATCTAAGCATTTTTATCTTTGGTTAGGGCTAGTGATGCTATGCAGGTCTGGTCGTTTAACATTTGAAAGCCACCATTTGGATCGAGTCCCATGAAATCCTTGATCCGAGGAGTATTACTAAGATTGCTGGTGTGTTTCCCTGTGTCTGACAATGGTAACAGTGAAAAATTAGAGGACTTTGAAGAAGTAGGTTGATATTGCTGTTCAAAGATTTATAGAAATGCCTTTCAAATGTATGCTCTTGCACCCCAGTGAAAGATTATGGGCACTGGCTCAGGAGGTCTGGGTTTTGGTTGCTCTTGTGTTAATGATTGTGACTAATCAACCTCTCTGAGCCTCTCTTTTTGATCATGTAAAATGAATATAAAAAATGTGCTGTTCAATTTTTAAGGTTTTATGAAGATTAAATAACTATTAACTATAAACCTACAACTTTTGTCATTAATCATAATTTAAGTCCACGGGAAAGGTGGGAGGAGATAGATCCTGGGAGTATTGATGTTGAAACACTGGACAATTAAAGTGGCTTAGTCTTAGTTTTTGAAGATCAGAGGAGATGAGGTAGTGGGTAGTGTGTGTGTCAATTGGATGGAACTTACATGGTTTCCTTTTTTTTTTAGATTTTTCAACGGTCATTTTAACACTGCTTTGGCAATTTTTATACTAAGAATAACTGAACAATTGTATATTTTCTTAAAAATGTTCTGAGAAATACAATGTAAATTTAGAAATATTAACTTCACATTGCAGATTAATTTTTGATCATGTGTGTATGTGTGTGTATGCATGTGTGTTTGTATGTGTATGATAACACAGATACCAGGTAGGGAAAGCCTTGTATTGAAAATCTTTATTTGCTTAATTCATAGCAGCAAATGGGAAGTGTGTAAGCAACATTAAGTTTATGTGGTATGTAAGATAAACTTAAGTTTTAATTATCTTTTCTTTATTTCATTTTCATCTCAGTCTGAATCTAAACTTTATAATGGCTCAGAAAAGGACAGTTCAACTTCGAGTAAGCTCACTAAGAAAGAGTCTCTTAAGGTTAGTTTCTGCAGTTACTTTTTTAAACTTTCTTTTTTTTTTTTTTAAAGATTATAATTTCAATATTTCTCTCTTCCCTTTCTTCCCTCCCAAACTTCCCATATGCCCTTCCCTGCTCTCCTAAATTCATGGCCTCTTCTTCTGTTAATTGTTATTGCGCATATCTGTATACATATTCCTCAATATAAGCTACTCCGTCCATGTATATAATGTGACTCGTAGCTTTGTTTTCAAGGCTGACCATTTGGCACTGGATAGCCAATTGGGGTGCTCTTCCTTGGGGAAGGCCACCTGTCCTGCTCTCAGCTTTTCTCAGCTGTCTGTAGCTGTTCCTGTGGGGTTGAGGCCTTGTGGGCTTTTTCTTGTCCCCTTTACTTTTGGACAGTCATGTTGGTGGAACTCCCTGATCCTGTCACATTGTGCTTTACATGTGCCTTTGAAATGGGCTAATACGAAGTATCTCTGTGTGTGCTCCTAAAGGGGAAGGAAGAACTCCAGGGGCTGGAAAGGCAAGCACACATGCACAGCGTTCATGTCTTTATGGTCGTGTGAGGTCAGCAGGTGATAGTTTTTGACAACTGTCCCAGAACACGCCGTTTCAGGCCACAGCTAGCCAAAGCACAGGCTCGGGGGTCAGTGTCTCTTCACAGCTTTAACAGTAGAGTGAGCACCTAACTTGAAACACCCAGTGGATGATTCTGGCATCCATTTAAATTAGTTTGCTAATTACCAGGCCCATAGGAATATGTATTTATTTGACTTGAATCATGTTTTAAATTTTGAGGCAATAAAAGTCCAGATTTCTAACTTCTCTTAAGAGATGTAGAGTGTTGGGGCTACCTTCCTGAATGGCCATAGAACTTGGAGCCTACAGGACACTGCTCTCTACTGGTTCTGGTCCCTGCTGATCCATCTCATCTGTCTGTGTTCTATGGATGGTCCTGTGTGCATCTGTATTTTCAGTCTCATAGTAAATCTATTCATTTAGACATGGATATTTTAAAGGACCACAGGGGGACAGAGAGATTGCTCAGTGGTTGATAGCACTGGCTGTTCTTCCAGAGGACCCGAGTTCAGTACCCAGTACCCACATGACGGCTAGCAACGCTCTGTAAATCTGATGGCCTTATCTGGGGCCTTTATGGGCACTGTATGCATATGATACACAGATATACATGTGGGGTGGAAAAACATCCATACACAAAAGTAAATAAAATCTGAAAAAAAAAAGGGCCACAAGTCTAAGGCATTAGAGATACATAACAGTTAAACTTTATTATATGTATGTAATCTCAAATTTAATTTTGATAGGTTTTTAATCTTACCATTTAAGAAAAAATATAGACACTTTCCCCATTCAAATAACAAGACAGTAATAAAGCTATCAGTTCACTTCTGCTTTCTTGGGTTATTTCATAGAAGTAATTTACCTATGAAAGTAAAATGGTTAATATTTTGAACAAATTGATCTCTTAATTGTTTTTCTTAATTATTTCAGTCTTAGATTTTAGTAAAACAAAAGGGCACATCTTCCATTTGGGAGCAGTTGCAGCATAATAAACAAAAGCTAAGAAGAAGCTAAGAAGATTTCTACCAGTAAGAGATGGGGTAGGAAAAACTAGCCTGGCGATGTCGATCACGGCCTTGGAAGCCAGTCTGCCTTTGTTTGGATCTTGCTTCACACATTGATAGCTCTGTGGTTCTGGGCCATTACTTTCTCTGCCTCAATGTTCTTGAATGCCTTGAGACTAATAATAATTCTACTTGAAAAGCTTATTGTGGTCATTAAATGAAGTGATATTATAGATATGAATTTAGAATAATAACAGTTCACCAATGCACTCCATGTTAACACTCTCAATATTTTATTTATGCTGGAAATCCTGTTGCACAGTTAAAAGAATATGGTAGACATAGAAATTCTTCAAACAAACAAACAGAAACCTAGCGCTGGCGGTGGTGGCACACACCTTTAATTCCAGCACTTGGGAGGCAGAGGCAGGTGGATCTCTGAGTTCTAGGATATCCTGGTCTACACAGAGAAACCTTGTCTCAAAAAACAAAAACAAAACAAAAAATCAAGTGGGAGATTTTTATGCGTTTCAAAACCTAGAAGCTGTGTATTTCTTCAGATTGTATCTGAAGAATAAAAGTGATTTCAAATGGTGTGGAGGATTGACTAGTGGTCATGGAAGCCGAACCCCCACCTGTCTTGTCAACAGCTCCTGTCCATTTGTTTATCTGAAATCCCGGAGTTCTAAGAAGCGGTTTCTTCTCCTGAGTGTTCTGTTTCTGTTTCCGATAACTTAGGTACAAAAGAAGAATTACCGTGAGGAGAAGAAGAGAGCCACGAAGGAGCTGCTCAGCACCATCACAGACCCCTCTGTCATTGTCATGGCCGACTGGCTGAAGGTCAGGCCTTGGGTTTGAACTCTCGCTGAGTGCTTACTCACCGGGATGAGAAAGTTGAAGACAAAATAAGATAGATTCTCAGTGGGAGGGAAAGTGTTTTTGTGTTCTGTATGCCAGTCTTCACAAAGGAACTCTAGGAGCATCACATATGGACAGCAAATCTGTTAAAAAGACATTTTGATTAGTGTGGTACTATGTTGTCTAATATCACGCATTATAAAACTGTGTTATTCCACTTACCATTAGGTATTATTGCAGATTGGAATTTGTATTATTAGGACAAAATGAGGACAAGTTGATAGAGAAGTTGCCCCGGGAAGCACTGTCCAGTACACACTGCTGTTGTATTTCGTTTTTCTCACTCCAATCTCTGTCCTCTTTCCCAATCTTACCTGAGGGATAGCTGCAGGAATCTTTACTCCTACCTTTGAAAGTGAATGTGTAAGACTTTCTCCCAGGAAGCCCTGGTGTCTGACATTTACCACAGCCCTAAAGGCTTTCTTTTTCCTTGAGTTGGCAAAACTGCTACCAAATGATTCCTAGAAACATTTTAAAAAGTTCTTCTGCTACAGTGAGAGTCCTAATCATGATTGCACACAGTTCAGATACAACAAGGGTTTTCTTCAGTTTTGTGCTGAAAATAAATCCCGACTTACCTTATCTCTTCTTCAGAGCATATTAGCTCTGGATCCCACTTGTTTTCTTTTCCAGAGCCAAACTCATCCTCTCCAAGTCCCCAGACATTCTTAGGGTGGAAGGGTCATGCCTCACGCTGCCCCCCCCCCCCCCCGCGCCCCGTTATTTTGAAACACAGTATTGATATGTGTAGACAAATTTCTAAATAGTCTTATTAAATAAAAAACAGGGAGTAATACCTAGGGGTGAAAGCCTTAGAGAGCTCAGAGGAATAGGACAACCCACGAGCTGACCTCACCTCACCAGCTCCACAGCTTCCAAAGAGAGTGACTTCCTGTCTACCCAGGCTTATATGCCTTGCTGTTCTGCCATCTGATTTGCTCTCTGTCTAGCTACATCACTACCTCTTCCTGGCCAGTTCTGTCATTTCCTGTCTGTACAGGCCTCCAGAACTCTATGGTTGGTACTGGGATTAAAGGCATGTGTCACAATGCTTGGCTCTGTTCCCTAGTGTGGCTTTGAACTCACAGAGATCCAGACAGATCCCTGCCTGCCAGTTGATAGGCTTAAGGGCGTGTGTTAACATTGCATGATTTTTGTGTTGTGGCTGGCTTTTTCCTCTGATCTTCAGGTAAGCTTTATTTATTAAAGCACAAATAAAATATCACCACATTTTAGCACAAATAAAATATCACCACATCTATGTAGTAGCCCCAACTGGCCATGAACACATGGCAGTCCTCTGGCCTCAGCATCTCCATGCTGGGATTATATAGGTGTACACTATCACACCTAACTCTGTGGCTGGCCTTTTAAACCTTCCCTTCATTTCTGATGGTTGACCCTCTTTTCTGTTGTCATATCCAAGATCAAGAGTGTTATGTCAGAGTAACTATCTTTCCTTTGATTCTCTTTGCTTACTGTCTCTTTTATATAGAGAGATAAACACATGCATGCATGCATGCGCGCGCGCGCGCACACACACACACACACACACACACACACACACACACACACCCCTTTTCTTAAATATTTTTCTTTTTTTATTCCTGGCTCCAGAGCCTCCCTAACTTCTTGTATCTTGGGATTACTGTGGTTCTGTCCATTTTGCTTCTTGAAACATTTCATAAAAATAAGTAGCGTGCTTACATTTAAAGGCTTCTTCCTAGATGTTTATATAGCACACCTTAGGTACCAGCTGGAGCAGTTACCTAAGGAGGTCAGTGTGAGGACTAGGTGACTCTCTGGTTGTGTAGAGGTTCCTTCTTCTTCCTGTTGTTTCCCAAAGATTTGAGGGAAGGTCTTGATGTGCCAAAAGTGTTCAGAAAGGAAAATTAGAAAAGGCAGAATAATCATTTATTCCCATAAATCGTTTGTAACAACTGCTACAAAAAGAATAATTTCAGTACTATGGAAGTTTATTTTAATGACCCCTGAGGTGATGAAGGAGATTCAGATTCTACTTATTGTATAATTTTGAAACTTTGGCCTGCCCTTCTATGACAGTTTGAACTTCTTCTTAGAATCAGGGGCCATGTTGACTCCATGTTTGTCTGCACTGCATGCCATGAAGTAGCCTTTTAACTAAAGACCTATTCAGTGTCAATTTATGTGCACTATAAAGTTAGATTAAAACATTATTCAGCTTATTATTCTGTCATCTAGAAAGAGAAACAGATATCAATCTTCAAAATAAATATGTTTTTCTGTAGATTCGTGGTACCCTGAAGAGCTGGACCAAGTTGTGGTGTGTGTTGAAACCTGGGGTGCTTCTGATCTATAAAACACAAAAAAATGGTCAGTGGGTTGGCACAGTCCTTCTGAATGCCTGTGAGATCATTGAACGACCATCAAAAAAGGATGGCTTTTGCTTCAAGCTTTTCCATCCTTTGGAGCAGTCTATTTGGGCAGTGAAGGTATGTGAGCACTTGGTGAGGTAAAGGTAAAAGTGACAGAGGTAAGGTAAGTCAACCAAATGCCTCGTGTCCTTGGACAGGACACATACAATTGTTTCTGTCTTCCATAGCTTTATTTATCCTTCTGTCTCTAGCTGTACTCAGTTGGGTATCAAAGAGCCTTTCGCTTGCTTTTAAGACCTAAAACAATTTTCCTGAGAACATTTCCCCAACATATTACATCTTATTTTCTCTTTTGTCATTGAAGATTAAATTTATATTTGTCCTTAGTTGTGGATCCTATCTACTTCTTGTTTGTAACTTTGTGTAATGTTGGCTGACTCTTCATTCTTCCTCAGAATGGCTGCCTAAAACAGAAGCTGACACATTTTTGTGGCCTTCCCTGTAGTGATGGGGATGTGTGATGGGATGCTTGGGAGCAGAAGCTGTCCTATTTGCTCTTAGAAGATGCGGCTGTCTTTAAAGACAGGGAACTAATTTTTATAATTGAAAGTATCAGTTTGGTCCCTGAGTGCTATAACATCAGCAATAAGCAGGAAACAGAAATGTTTTCTCTGATTAATCATCAAGAAATTCTACAAACCATGAACAATGTAGTTTACATTAACCAGATGACCAGATCTTAAGTTTTCACAGAGAGATCATTGCTTTTGTCTCTAGGGTAATTAATTAGTTCACCTTGAATAAAGGACTAACTGTATACTAGGCAATGTTGATGTCCCTAGGAAACGATTTGACCTTTTTGTCCCAGTAGTCTAGATTCATTGAAGAATAAAGTTAGGATTACGGAATTATTTCTGTTTTGGAATTCATTTTTTTTTTTTACTAGTCAGTTATAATTAAATGTCCAACTACCTAATTTAGACTTATAGAAGAAGTAAAATATTTATCACCTAGGGATACCTATAGGATGACAATTCTTGTTAACATTAAAATTGTATCAGTATGGTAAATTTTAGGTTTTCTTACTATATGTGGTGAACATATATGTTCTTACTATATGTGGTGAACACATATGAACAACATATGTGGACTGTCTACAAGGCAAAGAACTTAACCCATAGATGATGTATTTTGCAGGGAGTCTGTTATTTCATCCTCTTACTTAGAAGGAGATAGATTGTTCCTGATACAGAGAAAATTGAATCCTAAAGTGTTTGCTGTAGTAGTTTTCCTAGTAGAGACGAGATTAAAATTTAAGTAGTCTGACTCTAGGTTCTAGTGTGTGTTTGTTTTCGTTTAAAAAAATTTTTTTAAAATAACCACAGTAAATGAAGCAATTCTCTTTTCTTTCTTGGTTCAGAAAAAGTAAAAGTTTTTGAGATTAGTCTTTAAAACAGATAGTAATTGATTATAAAGTGTATATTTATTTTCCCATAGATCCAGTCAAAATTCATTTTCCTTTATCTAGTGAATTATATTTCCAGTGACTTTTTTCATACTTCTATAAATATAGTATTTCTCAGATTGTAAAATAGATACTCTTTGTAATTGTGTCAGTGTGTTTAATATTAGGTTTTTAGTATATGAGCACTATTTACAGGTAATAATTAAGTGATAAATGTTATCATTTGTTCAACTTTCTATTAAGAAGGCATATTTGTTGGGAAAGAGTAGTTGACTACTAAAATTGGCATTCTTAAGACAGACGTAATTAAAGTTGGTTTGCTTTTAGATTATAATTGCGCCTGATATAACCCACATCTGATACAAATAATAATGCTAACTTATTGTTGCTCTATCACAATACTTACCCTGTACTGTCTCTTTTCTTATTAAGGGTCCAAAGGGCGAAGCTGTTGGATCCATAACTCAACCCTTACCTAGCAGTTACTTGATTATCCGAGCGACTTCAGAGTCAGATGGTAAATACTTTTTGATGGACTGGCTCTAATTTTCAGGGATTATTTTTCGTATTACTTTGTGTTAACCTTGGAGGAAATCACATTTTTGTAGAACACTTGAAGCAAAAAATAAACCATGTAGAATGCTAAATACATTCCTAGCTTTGCATACGAAGAATTCTGATAGGAAAGACACATGTCACTGGACACAGTCTGCAGCTCAGCTTTTCTCTCATTCTCCACTGACACAGCAATTCTTTTGGGACTTAATAGTATTTTTTTTTGTAGTAATTCTTTAAACATTATCATTTGAAGTAAGATATTCAACCTGTAAGCTGTCATACATTAACAATTGTGGAACACATAATACTGATTCGATTTGATTTTATGTAAGACAGCAAAATACAAATAACTTTATCAACAACCCTCGTTCGTAGCCAGATACATAATTCATTTGGCAAATAATAGAGCAAAACACAACACACACACACACACACACACACACACACACACACACAGACACACATATACATATGCAACATAAAATAAGTAATAATAGATTTTTCTTTAATGTCACACTTTATAGTTTAGATTAGCTTGATGTAGGGAATCTTACAACCTTCCAATACTGACTCTTATTATACAAGAGAATTACTGTTTATATTAAAATATAGACATGAGATTTCAATATGAAAATGTTTTATATGGTTTAATTTTCTGCCAGATCTTGCAACAAGTATGTATGGATTTTAACAGTGCTTAAATATATTAATATATTTCATGATTCCACTGATACAATTTTAAATTATAAAAGAAAGCTATTAATATTGACAGTCATGGCAGATAATGATAGCATTGTATAGGTATTTTCTTGGCTTAGATTTTTTTGTGTTAAGCAAAACAACCAAGGCTCAGAAAGACGGGTGTTGCATGTTTTCTCTATATGTAAACAAAACAGCAGAGAGAGAGTAAGAGTAGAAGCAACTGTTAGGAAGGAAAGGGAGTGGAGGAGTTGTTAAGAGGGGTGAGGAGAATATGGTCTCCATCCATTAGAGCACACATGAGAAGACCACAGCGAAGCCCGTGATGGACTAATGCATGCTAACATCTTTTCCTACATGGACATAAAGTGGATGCTAAGCCTGGGGATAGGGCTCTTGTCAACAATGAAGCATTGTTTCAGTTAGTTTATAGTAGAAACATACTCTATTCAGTGTGTTCTATGTCCCTTGTTTGATACTTTAAAATTGCATGTTAATATTCTAAAGTTTTAGATTGGATATGCTTGCATAATACATTCTCTCTCCTATTTATTGTAATTTTAAAATGCTTGTTTAAAAAGCATTTATTAAAAAAGATTGCATTAAAATCCTGACAAGCTTTTATATTTAAATTAACTTTTTCTAGTGCTTGTTTCTCAAAGAAACAGTATGTTTCAAGGTCAGAGGGTTAAATTAAATGAACGCTCGTTTCATTTATTGTCTTGCTGTAAACCCATGTTCTTGTAGGAAGGTGCTGGATGGATGCCTTGGAGTTGGCTTTGAAATGTTCTAGTCTTCTTAAACGTACAATGATCAGGGAAGGAAAGGAGCATGACCTGAGCATCTCATCAGATAACTCCCACGTGACTCTGTACGGTTTATTGCGTGCTAACAATCTCCACAGTGGCGACAACTTCCAGTAAGTGGCTATTGCTGCTAATTGATAATGCTTTCGGAGACGGACCATTCATTAAATCAGTTGTCATTTCTACTACCTTGGTAATGTGTAGAGTGTTGAGATTTGCCTGTCTTACTATTAGAAGGCTTATTATATTATATGATTATTATAGGGCTTTAAAGTTAATTTATTTGCTATAAATCAGGCATAGAGATTGATTTTCTTTATTCTAGCCAGTTTGCGTTATTCTTTTTTTTCCAGGCACAAGTGAACTGTCTGTCTACTTTGTCTTTGTGCATAGTATACCTTGCATTAAGAATGGTTTCTCCTGCCGGGTGATGGTGGCGCACGCCTTTAATCCCAGCACTCGGGAGGCAGAGCCAGGCGGATCTCTGTGAGTTCGAGGCCAGCCTGGACTACCAAGTGAGTTCCAGGAAAGGCGCAAAGCTACACAGAGAAACCCTGTCTCGAAAAACCAAAAAAAAAAAAAAAAAAAAAAAAGAATGGTTTCTCCTTCTTGTGTCTCCTTCTGTCATAATCCCATTTCAAGATCAGGTTGACTACTGTGTCCCTTGTGAAGCTCTCAGTCTTAACACAATGAGATACCTCTCCTCCTCCGTTGTTCTTCTCTTAGCATGGTTTGTAATGGAACTGGATTTGCCTGCCTTAGATGAAGCATTTTTATGTGTGTGAGTGTTTTGCCTGCATTTATGTCTGGGCATCTCATTCCTGCTGTGCCTTCAGAGGCCAGAAGAGGGTGTCAGGTCCCCGGGGACAGGAGTTCACAGATGATGTGGGTGTTGGGAATTGAACCTGGGTCCTCTACAAGGAACCAGTTCTCTTACCCACTGCACTGTCTCTCCAGGCCCTGTGGACACATTTTGAGTGGAAACTGTATCTGGTTTGTGGTTTTTGTCTCCCGAAGCATCATTGTAGCGAATACTATCATAATATCTCTGGCAAAACTGAGATGCAATGCACAGATATTTTTCAGGTGCTGGCATCTTTTTATTGCTTGTATAACAACATTCCCTCTTTTCATCATTTGAAGCTTCACTTTGGGGTTGTTGGCTTATTTCCTTAAGCAGAAATTGTCATTCCCATTGTTCCCTGTCATTTTCTGCTCACAATTAAGCCTATCAGATAAATGTGAAATAGATCTCAAAGCAGGTTTTCCTTCTTATTCTAAGAGGTTATTTTGGGGTGACTTTGGAGCTCTTTATAGTGGAAAGTCATAATTCACTAAGCTGAGAACATGATGGTCTTGGCTTAGTGTTTTTCTTCAAACCAGATGTGGTGGTGATCCTGCTTCTGGTAACAGCATCTGTTAAAACAGTAGGTGGGTGGACCGAGCAAGTAGTCTACATTCTGTTGTGAGAACATTTCAGTCCCGAGAGTTAGAGAGGCAAGCGCTCAGCTCGTCCTCTTCTATTGCAGGCTGCTTTTAATTTCTTTGTGCCTTTTCTCACTCATCTGTGAAAGAACAACAATATTGCCAGACAGGATAATCCCAAAGATGACGCTAGCTAAACCAAGTAAAGCGCTTAGAACTGTGCACAGCACATAGTACATTTACAGTAAATGCCACATGTTATTCTAATTTATGGATTTGTAGTCTTAGCCTCCTTTGTTCTTATTCCTCTAAGGTTGAACGATAGTGAAATTGAAAGACAGCACTTTAAGGACCAAGATCTGTATTCTGATAAATCTGACAAAGAAAATGATCAAGAGCATGATGAATCTGACAATGAGGTGATGGGGAAAAGTGAAGAAAGTGATACAGATACATCAGAAAGGCAAGATGATTCCTACATTGAACCTGAGCCCATTGAGCCTTTGAAGGAGACCACCTACATGGAGCAGAGCCATGAGGAACTTGGAGAGGTGAGCACTGTCTAGTGACAGATTCTCTACTTACTAACTCTAGAAAGCTCCACATGGAATTGTAGATATTATTTGTCTGGCTTATTGTTTTCCCCAAAGAATATTTATATGCCACATGTTTCTTCAAAGTTGTATTGTGAAATTTATTTATATTTATAAGCAACCAAAAACATACCCAAATGCCAGTGTGGTCTGCTAAACTTCAAGTTACATTTTCAAGTGTGTTTTTGAAATAGGATATTACTTGATATCATTGCCAGGTATAAAGTAAATTGCAAGTAGCATAAATTTAAAAGTTTCCAGTTATTACCAAAGCAAGTAAAACCATAAACAACAAAACTAGGTATGGTGGCACATGCCTGTAATCCCAGCACTTGGGAGAATGAAGCAGGAAGTTTGCAAGTTTTCAGGCAGCGTGGGATACCTTATCTCAATAGAAAAGTAAATTTTTTTGAACAAAATAATAATAGAATTTGGTTCTTTTGCATATGCTGTTATTTTGGTACTTCTCGGAGCTCTCCTGGTACTTTTACAGCCTAGACTTTATTACCTAAATGATTATTTGCACATTTACATAATGCTTGGGATAGTCTTGGAGAGTCCTGTTTTTATCTTTCAGTGTCTTGTCTATGTGTCTGTCTAAGATAAAATGTTTCAGGGTGCTGTGTTATAATTGTTAAAGGCAGGTGAGGCTTCTCAAACGGAAACTGTGTCTGAAGAGAACAAAAGCCTTATCTGGACTCTGCTCAAACAAGTCCGTCCTGGCATGGACCTGTCCAGGGTGGTTCTTCCTACATTTATTTTGGAGCCCCGTTCTTTCCTGGATAAACTTTCAGATTACTACTATCATGCAGATTTCCTGTCTGAGTAAGTAGAGTCTTCTAGAAATAGAAGATCCCTGAATGGTTTTAGAATGTCTCAATAATGTAACAAAAAGCTATGGTGGCATGCACTTGTAATCTCAGCAGTAGGGAGGTGGGAAAATGTGGCTTCCTGGGGCTCAGCAAGGCCAGTGAGAGACTCTGCCTCAACAAACAAGGTAGGTAACAGCTGAGGAGGAATGATACCTGCGGTCATCCTCTGGGGAATAGCAATTTTCTGCTCACCATTCCATAGTTCACCTGTTGCCACATCTGTGAAGTCTTGTAGTACTGTTTTCTGTGCTGCTAAGTTTTGGCCCAGTGATTTGGACTTAAGAATCTGGCCGGGCGGTGGTGGCGCACGCCTTTAATCCCAGCACTCGGGAGGCAGAGCCAGGCGGATCTCTGTGAGTTCGAGGCCAGCCTGGGCTACCAAGTGAGTCCCAGGAAAGGCGCAAAGCTACACAGAGAAACCCTGTCTCGAAAAACCAAAAAAAAAAAAAAAAAAAAGAATCTGTACCAATATCTGTTGTCCATATCTGTTTTCAATTGTAGTTGTTAATTACATTAGTAAACATTGATAGCATCATAAGCTGAATCAAGAGATGATTGATATGTTACAGGAAAACTTTGCAAATTATGTAGTAGACAAAAGTATTAATTCTCCTAAGAGTTTAAAGAGCTCTTAATGCCAGCATTGTGGGGCACATTTGTGATCCTAGCACTCAAGAGGCTGAGGCAAGAGAATTGCTATGATCTTGAGTCAGGGCTATATAGCAAGACTGATTCATCCCCCTCCATCTAATAAAAAGGGCTAGCTAGCAAGCTCTCTCTTAGAAACAGAGTGAAGATACCCAATAACCTATAGAAAAAGAGGTGGGAAAAATGAAATAGAAACAATTCTTTAATTGGAACCCTATGCAAAATAAGAAGAAGCAGATACAGGCTGTAGCACCATAGTTTCGTTCATCTAGCCCATTGATGGAGAGCTTTCCCACTTGTTCTGCTCGCTTCTCTGGTTCTTTTCTTCGTCTGTCTTGGAAAGTCATTCTCAGTATGGAAAGCAGGTACTTACAGCTCTTACGGTGAATTTCTACGAGATGCCGTTTTCACCAGTGGGAAGGTTGTACCTTAAAGAAAGTAGTGAATAAATGAATTAATCATAAGAGTGGGCACAGTGTTCTGGCAGCACACGTGTCTCCAGAGCATTCTGAGGCAGTGAACACTTTGGAGCGGTTTGATGCGCCTGTGAGCTGTGGCAGCCGTGGCAGCCGTGGCAGCTGTGGCAGTGCCGTGGCTGGTCTCTTCGTCCTTTGCGTTTTGCTCATGTGCACCGCTCTCCCAGATGTGTCTCCACATCCTCCAACTGACGTCCTCGAGATTGCTGCAACAGGACTAACGGACTCAAACATTCAGAGTAGTTCACGGGCCAGCCATAGTTCCCTGGCTAAAAAATATTTGGTACATCTGCATATAAAAGGAAGGAATTCATAAAATGATAAAAAAGCTACCAAGGTACAAAAGAAATATAATTTACGACATTGTTTTTAAAAGCGGGACTGTTTGTTTATATTTGCTCATTTATGCTTGAAGAAAACTTTGAAAAAATAATTATTTTTATTTTTTATTAATTTTAAAATTATGTTTGTGTGTGCATGCGGGCACATGTGAGTGCACATTAGTGTAGGCACCTGTGGCGGTCAGAAGATGGCAGTGGGTCCTCTAGAGCTGTAGTTACAGGTGGTTGTGAACCTTTTGACTTCGGTGTTGGGAACCAAACTGAGGTCCTTTGCAAGAATACTCTGCATTTTAACTACTGAGGTCTCTCCTCAAAGTGTTTTAAAAACAAGCCTGAGGCCAGGCGGTGGTGGTGCATGCCTTTAATCTCAGTACTTGGGAGGCAGAGCCAGGCAGATCTCTGAATTTGAGGCCAGTCTGGGCTACAGAGTGAGATCCAGCAAAGGCACCAAAACTATACAGAGAAACCTTGTCTCGAAAAACCAAAAAAAACCCAAAAAGCCTGTATTAGTTAATTTTCTGCTGCTATGACAAAATACCAAGGCAGGTTACTGAGAGAAGGGTTTATAATAGAGACTCTCATGACATGGGAGTGGGGCTGGCATGCCAGCAGGGAGCAGGCATTGTGGAAGGAGTAGGAAACAGTACATCTCAGGTACAGGCACAAAACAGAGATCAGGTTAGAAGTAGGACAAGGCCATATACTCTTCAAAGCCTGTGTCCAGTGACATACTTCCTCCAGCAAAGCCACACCTCCTAAACTTTCCCAAGCAGTCCCCACAAGAAGGGACCAAGTGTTCAAATGCCTGAGTCTAGGGGGGACATTTCTCATTTAAATCACCACAGAATTGTTTCTGCAAGAGTGAAGGAGGTACACTGTGACGAAATCAAACATTAGTTGATGCAGTATGTACATCAGTCATATAAGGTTTTAAATAAGACTTCAGAACAAGACATTTACAGATAGGAAGAGAACAATCATTGGTTTGTTATTAAAGAAAAACTCAACTTTTCTGGTTGACAGTAAACTTAGGACTAGCCTGTCACCTTGCACCTTATCTTCAAAAATCAAGATTCCAGTCTGATGCGCTTGTGAAAGAGAATGCCTTTTTATAAATAAGGGTCTAATAACTAGCTACTTCACAAACAAACATGAAAACAACTTGCCAATAAAAGTCACTTTGAACGTTCAAATAAGGGTCTAATAACTAGCTACTTCACAAACAAACATGAAAACAACTTGCCAATAAAAGTCACTTTGAACGTTCACAATCACTGCTTTGTAGCAGTTGCAGTAATAGTCAAATGGTCAGGGGAGAGGGAAGCTGAGTCATGGCTCCTCCAGATTTCTTCAGTAGAGACTAGCTGTTACACTGGTAGTTTGTTGAGGTGGAAAATCGGCCGGTAATACAACATATACTGGAAGACTGAAGGACTATGATTGGCAAAACCCTGTTGATGGAAGTTGTGACACATACAGGAGGGTGAAGGACGGTGACTGGGAAAGCACTGTGGATTGAAGTGGTCCTAACTCTTCTTTCATACTTGGAATATGAAACATGAGCCTCGCAGCAGGCGCACAAACCCACGTACTCCTTGATCTGAAAGGCTCCGTCAGCCTTCTGTTCTCTTCCGAGTACTGTTCATTTCTAACACCACTGTTCAGGTTAGATGTGACCAGGTGAACAGTGACTGATGCTCCTTCACTGGAGTGAGACTGAGGACCTCTAATCAAGCTGTTGACTGGGCTTCAAGGCACCACGCAATGCACGAATCTCGAAAGTCTATGTTTGATTTTCGAGGGTTGTTCGTGTTTTGGCTTACGGTTCTTAAGGGAATCCATAATCTTGGGGAGGTATGGCAGCAGGTAGCCTGAGCAGGAAGCTGAGAGATTACATCTCCAGCCAACTCGAAAAGCAGAGAATGTTTCCTTTTTAATCAAAGTTATTCACAGAGCTCCTTGTTAATCCTGAGTTCTACAGAACTCCATTTCGGACGCTTTGGTTTGAAACTTCCAAAAACATTTTCAGCAGTGTCCAGGTAGTACATGAAAGAATCAGAAAAATGGGATAAGGCAACCAGATTAAAAGAGAAAAATGATTCTTTAGAGGGTTATTAGTTTTTTAAAAATTGTGTGTCTATTTGTTGGGGGCATGGGTATATGCACCTGAATGCAATAACTCACAGAGGCCAGAGGAGGGATTGGAGTTGCAGTTAGTTGTGAGCCCTTGGACATGGGGGCTGGAATACCTCTGGTCCTACCAAAAGAGTAAGCAGCTTTAACCTCTGAGCCATCTCTCCAGCAGCAAGGAAAAGTATTCTAGAAGTCAATTTACGTGACTATTTTACTGTTTATTTAAATATGAATTAGGTTTCCAAGTATATGTCACAGTAAGTGTGAAAGAATTTGTGATTGCATTAAAGGATTATATTTACCATTTTTTTTAGGGCTGCTCTTGAAGAAAATCCGTATTTCCGTTTGAAGAAAGTTGTGAAATGGTATTTGTCAGGATTCTATAAAAAGCCAAAGGTAATGTTTACTTTTTGCTTCTTTTTCCTTATGTTGTATGTTTGTGTGGGTATTTGGGTGCTGTGCATGGTACACATGTGGAGGAGGGCAGTTCTGTCTTAGATTATGTGAGTCTAGAACCCAGCAAGTCATCAGTCAGACTTGGAGACACATGCCTTCACCCACTGTGGCACTCACTGCCCGGGCACTCAGAAAACCCACCGGAACTCTCCAGAGTGTCTGAGCAGTTCGTGTTCGTGATCATTTGTTCTCTTAATCATTAGACTAGACTGGTAAGTGTTAACCTAAGTAGCACCTACGACAAACAGCGTTTATGTGGGAGCTGTAGTCAAAGCAGTCTTCTGTGTTCTAGTTCATCTGCCCCATCCCAAAGAGTACAGTCAGAAAGTGGGAGTGAGAAACGGGTTTGAAGGGACAGTGGTGGGAAAACATGATGAGACTAGAATAAAATGCTTGAATCTGGAAAGAGGAAGCAGCCAGTGGAGGGAGGGCAGCTACCACCAGTCAGAATCCACCACTGCCCTAGTGATGGGCCGTCACTGAGTCCACGGAGAAGTGTGGTATTAAAGGCCAGTCACTGAGTCCACGGAGAAGTGTGGTATTAAAGGCCAGTCACTGAGTCCATGGAGAAGTGTGGTATTAAAGGCCAGTCACTGAGTCCACGTAGAAGTGGTATTAAAAGGCCAGTCACTGAGTCCATGGAGAAGTGTGGTATTAAAGGCCAGTCACTGAGTCCATGGAGAAGTGTGGTATTAAAGGCCAGTCACTGAGTCCATGGAGAAGTGTGGTATTAAAAGGCCAGTCACTGAGTCCATGGAGAAGTGTGGTATTAAAAGGCCAGTCACTGAGTCCATGGAGAAGTGTGGTATTAAAGGCCAGTCACTGAGTCCACGTAGAAGTGGTATTAAAAGGCCAGTCACTGAGTCCATGGAGAAGTGTGGTATTAAAGGCCAGTCACTGAGTCCATGGAGAAGTGTGGTATTAAAAGGCCAGTCACTGAGTCCATGGAGAAGTGTGGTATTAAAAGGCCAGTCACTGAGTCCATGGAGAAGTGTGGTATTAAAGGCCAGTCACTGAGTCCACGTAGAAGTGGTATTAAAAGGCCAGTCACTGAGTCCATGGAGAAGTGTGGTATTAAAGGCCAGTCACTGAGTCCATGGAGAAGTGTGGTATTAAAAGGGATGTCACCCTCCTCCAGTAAGAGAGTTAGTGTGATTGCGGTGTGCTGGTCAAGCAGGAAGTGAGCGCTGTTACACAAGAGCACTTCCTGGAAGAAACTTTAAAACAGAAATTAGAAAATGAGTTTTTATTTCTAAGAATGTTGTGAACTGTATGTGTGAACCTGGACAAACCACTTAAATTTTAGGCCTATCTCAAAAGAGCTGGAGCTGCTGATGTACAAATCCTGTATTACCTGACATTTCCAATACTGGGTAAATACCAAGAAGAGATGGCGTCTTTATATTCAAAAGACACTTGCATGTCCATTGACGCACCATTTGCAGTGACCAAAATATAGACGAGGCTCAGCCTCCGGCAGGTGAATATGGATAGAGACGTTGAACCAGTTGGTTGTCAGGGTTTTTTAAAGCAGCCATTGCTCTCTGGAGGTAACATCTTACAGGAATGTCCTGCATCTCTAAGAGATGCTTTCTTATTGTGCAAAATTTCTATTTAGATCATATCTTGATAAAAATTTTTTTCCCCCGAGACAGGGTTTCTCTGTGCAGCTTTGGTGCCTTTTCCTGGATCTCGCTCTGTAGACCAGGCTGGCCTAGAACTCACAGAGATCCGCCTGGTTCTGCCTACCGAGTGCTGGGATTAAAGGTGTGCGCCACCACCACCCGGCTGTATTTGTAATTTTTAACTTGTAGTTTTTTTTGTTGTTTGTTTTTTTGTTTAACCAGGGACTGAAGAAACCATATAATCCTATACTTGGTGAGACTTTCCGTTGTTTATGGATTCATCCCAGAACAAACAGCAAAACGTTCTATATTGCTGAACAGGTATGAGAAATGCTAACTTGGTACATCACTGTTGTTCAGCTTCTTGTTAGGGAAGATCTGCTAAGCATTGATATTCTAGTACTGAATGCTACTCCATAACACGCTGATGACCATTGCGCTCACAACCCATCAGGTCTGGCTGTCCTGTGTGGCTGCAGTCAAGATGTCAGCCAGTTTATACTTACCCTTACTTTTGGCTTGTGTGGGCGATTGCTCTCCATGATCACCCCCATGGCTGTTGTGAAGGGAATTCAGTTTCTCAGCATGTGGCCCCTCTGTCCAGTTTTTACAGCACAAAAACTTGTTACTCAGAACTTTGGGTGCTTGTGTGTGCATGCAAGCGAGAGAGGGGTTGGGGTGGGGAGAGGGAGAGGGTGTCCTAAAAGCCTCCCCCATGGAAGGTATATTATAATCTCAAGTTAGAAATGCTGTATTATCATTCCCACACAAACTTGTTGATTCACACTCTGCCTTGGAGTGTGAATGCCAGGAGATAGATTTCCTTGGAGACAGAAATCTGGACTGCAGTCATCAACATTCATTGTTGCTTACCAGCTGCTCCTTCTTACTCATTCTTAGAGTCGAACTGTTGATGCTAGCATAACAGTAGGCTTATTCTGTTCAATGTCATGATCTTTCCTGTGTTCAATAGGTGTCCCACCACCCACCGGTATCCGCCTTTTATGTCAGTAACCGGAAGGATGGATTCTGCCTCAGTGGTAGCGTCCTGGCCAAGTCCAAGTTCTATGGTGAGTTTTCCCTTGTTCTAAAGTGTGCTTTCCAACGCGGTGTTTTCTGGTGGGTTCTTATTTGTCATTTCCCTTGTTCTAAAGTGTGCTTTCCAACGCGGTGTTTTCTGGTGAGTTCTTATTTGTCATTTCCCTTGTTCTAAAGTGTGCTTTCCAACGCGGTGTTTTCTGGTGAGTTCTTATTTGTCATTTCCCTTGTTCTAAAGTGTGCTTTCCAACGCGGTGTTTTCTGGTGGGTTCTTATTTGTCATTTCCCTTGTTCTAAAGTGTGCTTTCCAAACGCGGTGTTTTCTGGTGAGTTCTTATTTGTCATTTCCCTTGTTCTAAAGTGTGCTTTCCAACGCGGTGTTTTCTGGTGAGTTCTTATTTGTCATTTCCCTTGTTCTAAAGTGTGCTTTCCAACGCGGTGTTTTCTGGTGAGTTCTTATTTGTCATTTCCCTTGTTCTAAAGTGTGCTTTCCAACGCGGTGTTTTCTGGTGGGTTCTTATTTGTCATTTCCCTTGTTCTAAAGTGTGCTTTCCAAACGCGGTGTTTTCTGGTGGGTTCTTATTTGTCATTTCCCTTGTTCTGAAGTGTGCTTTCCAACGCGGTGTTTTCTGGTGAGTTCTTATTTGTCATTTCCCTTGTTCTAAAGTGTGCTTTCCAACGCGGTGTTTTCTGGTGAGTTCTTATTTGTCATTTCCCTTGTTCTAAAGTGTGCTTTCCAAACGCGGTGTTTTCTGGTGAGTTCTTATTTGTCATTTCCCTTGTTCTAAAGTGTGCTTTCCAACGCGGTGTTTTCTGGTGGGTTCTTATTTGTCATTTCCCTTGTTCTAAAGTGTGCTTTCCAAACGCGGTGTTTTCTGGTGAGTTCTTATTTGTCATTTCCCTTGTTCTAAAGTGTGCTTTCCAACGCGGTGTTTTCTGGTGGGTTCTTATTTGTCATTTCCCTTGTTCTAAAGTGTGCTTTCCAACGCGGTGTTTTCTGGTGAGTTCTTATTTGTCATTTCCCTTGTTCTAAAGTGTGCTTTCCAAACGCGGTGTTTTCTGGTGAGTTCTTATTTGTCATTTCCCTTGTTCTAAAGTGTGCTTTCCAACGCGGTGTTTTCTGGTGAGTTCTTATTTGTCATTTCCCTTGTTCTAAAGTGTGCTTTCCAACGCGGTGTTTTCTGGTGAGTTCTTATTTGTCATTTCCCTTGTTCTAAAGTGTGCTTTCCAACGCGGTGTTTTCTGGTGAGTTCTTATTTGTCATTTCCCTTGTTCTAAAGTGTGCTTTCCAACGCGGTGTTTTCTGGTGAGTTCTTATTTGTCATTTCCCTTGTTCTAAAGTGTGCTTTCCAAACGCGGTGTTTTCTGGTGAGTTCTTATTTGTCATTTCCCTTGTTCTAAAGTGTGCTTTCCAAACGCGGTGTTTTCTGGTGAGTTCTTATTTGTCATTTCCCTTGTTCTAAAGTGTGCTTTCCAACGCGGTGTTTTCTGGTGAGTTCTTATTTGTCATTTCCCTTGTTCTAAAGTGTGCTTTCCAACGCGGTGTTTTCTGGTGGGTTCTTATTTGTCATTTCCCTTGTTCTAAAGTGTGCTTTCCAAACGCGGTGTTTTCTGGTGAGTTCTTATTTGTCATTTCCCTTGTTCTGAAGTGTGCTTTCCAACGCGGTGTTTTCTGGTGAGTTCTTATTTGTCATTTCCCTTGTTCTGAAGTGTGCTTTCCAACGCGGTGTTTTCTGGTGAGTTCTTATTTGTCATTTCCCTTGTTCTAAAGTGTGCTTTCCAACGCGGTGTTTTCTGGTGAGTTCTTATTTGTCATTTCCCTTGTTCTAAAGTGTGCTTTCCAATGCGGTGTTTTCTGGTGGGTTCTTATTTGTCATTTCCCTTGTTCTAAAGTGTGCTTTCCAAACGCGGTGTTTTCTGGTGAGTTCTTATTTGTCATTTCCCTTGTTCTAAAGTGTGCTTTCCAACGCGGTGCTTTCTGGTGAGTTCTTATTTGTCATTTCCCTTGTTCTAAAGTGTGCTTTCCAACGCGGTGTTTTCTGGTGAGTTCTTATTTGTCATTTCCCTTGTTCTAAAGTGTGCTTTCCAAACGCGGTGTTTTCTGGTGAGTTCTTATTTGTCATTTCCCTTGTTCTAAAGTGTGCTTTCCAAACGCGGTGCTTTCTGGTGAGTTCTTATTTGTCATTTCCCTTGTTCTAAAGTGTGCTTTCCAACGCGGTGTTTTCTGGTGAGTTCTTATTTGTCATTTCCCTTGTTCTAAAGTGTGCTTTCCAAACGCGGTGCTTTCTGGTGAGTTCTTATTTGTCATTTCCCTTGTTCTAAAGCGTGCTTTCCAAACGCGGTGCTTTCTGGTGAGTTCTTATTTGTCATTTCCCTTGTTCTAAAGTGTGCTTTCCAAACGCGGTGTTTTCTGGTGGGTTCTTATTTGTCATTTCCCTTGCTCTAAAGTGTGCTTTCCAAACGCGGTGCTTTCTGGTGGGTTCTTATTTGTCATTTCCCTTGTTCTAAAGTGTGCTTTCCAACGCGGTGTTTTCTGGTGAGTTCTTATTTGTCATTTCCCTTGTTCTAAAGTGTGCTTTCCAAACGCGGTGTTTTCTGGTGAGTTCTTATTTGTCATTTCCCTTGTTCTAAAGTGTGCTTTCCAAACGCGGTGCTTTCTGGTGGGTTCTTATTTGTCATTTCCCTTGTTCTAAAGTGTGCTTTCCAAACGCGGTGTTTTCTGGTGAGTTCTTATTTGTCATTTCCCTTGTTCTAAAGTGTGCTTTCCAAACGCGGTGTTTTCTGGTGAGTTCTTATTTGTCATTTCCCTTGTTCTGAAGTGTGCTTTCCAAACGCGGTGTTTTCTGGTGAGTTCTTATTTGTCATTTCCCTTGTTCTAAAGTGTGCTTTCCAACGCGGTGTTTTCTGGTGAGTTCTTATTTGTCATTTCCCTTGTTCTAAAGTGTGCTTTCCAAACGCGGTGTTTTCTGGTGAGTTCTTATTTGTCATTTCCCTTGTTCTAAAGTGTGCTTTCCAAACGCGGTGTTTTCTGGTGAGTTCTTATTTGTCATTTCCCTTGTTCTAAAGTGTGCTTTCCAAACGCGGTGTTTTCTGGTGAGTTCTTATTTGTCATTTCCCTTGTTCTAAAGTGTGCTTTCCAAACGCGGTGTTTTCTGGTGAGTTCTTATTTGTCATTTCCCTTGTTCTAAAGTGTGCTTTCCAAACGCGGTGTTTTCTGGTGAGTTCTTATTTGTCATTTCCCTTGTTCTGAAGTGTGCTTTCCAAACGCGGTGTTTTCTGGTGAGTTCTTATTTGTCATTTCCCTTGTTCTAAAGTGTGCTTTCCAAACGCGGTGTTTTCTGGTGAGTTCTTATTTGTCATTTCCCTTGTTCTAAAGTGTGCTTTCCAAACGCGGTGTTTTCTGGTGAGTTCTTATTTGTCATTTCCCTTGTTCTAAAGTGTGCTTTCCAAACGCGGCGTTTTCTGGTGAGTTCTTATTTGTCATTTCCCTTGTTCTAAAGTGTGCTTTCCAAACGCGGTGTTTTCTGGTGAGTTCTTATTTGTCATTTCCCTTGTTCTAAAGTGTGCTTTCCAACGCGGTGTTTTCTGGTGAGTTCTTATTTGTCATTTCCCTTGTTCTAAAGTGTGCTTTCCAACGCGGCGTTTTCTGGTGGGTTCTTATTTGTCATTTCCCTTGTTCTAAAGTGTGCTTTCCAACGCGGCGTTTTCTGGTGGGTTCTTATTTGTCATTTCCCTTGTTCTAAAGTGTGCTTTCCAACGCGGCGTTTTCTGGTGGGTTCTTATTTGTCATTTCCCTTGTTCTAAAGTGTGCTTTCCAACGCGGTGTTTTCTGGTGGGTTCTTATTTGTCATTTCCCTTGTTCTAAAGTGTGCTTTCCAACGCGGCGTTTTCTGGTGAGTTCTTATTTGTCATTTCCCTTGTTCTAAAGTGTGCTTTCCAACGCGGCGTTTTCTGGTGAGTTCTTATTTGTCATTTCCCTTGTTCTAAAGTGTGCTTTCCAACGCGGTGTTTTCTGGTGAGTTCTTATTTGTCATTTCCCTTGTTCTAAAGTGTGCTTTCCAACGCGGCGTTTTCTGGTGGGTTCTTATTTGTCATTTCCCTTGTTCTAAAGTGTGCTTTCCAACGCGGTGTTTTCTGGTGAGTTCTTATTTGTCATTTCCCTTGTTCTAAAGTGTGCTTTCCAACGCGGCGTTTTCTGGTGAGTTCTTATTTGTCATTTCCCTTGTTCTAAAGTGTGCTTTCCAACGCGGCGTTTTCTGGTGAGTTCTTATTTGTCATTTCCCTTGTTCTAAAGTGTGCTTTCCAACGCGGTGTTTTCTGGTGGGTTCTTATTTGTCATTTCCCTTGTTCTAAAGTGTGCTTTCCAACGCGGCGTTTTCTGGTGGGTTCTTATTTGTCATTTCCCTTGTTCTAAAGTGTGCTTTCCAACGCGGCGTTTTCTGGTGAGTTCTTATTTGTCATTTCCCTTGTTCTAAAGTGTGCTTTCCAACGCGGTGTTTTCTGGTGAGTTCTTATTTGTCATTTCCCTTGTTCTAAAGTGTGCTTTCCAACGCGGCGTTTTCTGGTGAGTTCTTATTTGTCATTTCCCTTGCTCTAAAGTGTGCTTTCCAAACGCGGTGTTTTCTGGTGAGTTCTTATTTGTCATTTCCCTTGCTCTAAAGTGTGCTTTCCAACGCGGCGTTTTCTGGTGAGTTCTTATTTGTCATTTCCCTTGTTCTAAAGTGTGCTTTCCAAACGCGGCGTTTTCTGGTGAGTTCTTATTTGTCATTTCCCTTGTTCTAAAGTGTGCTTTCCAAACGCGGCGTTTTCTGGTGAGTTCTTATTTGTCATTTCCCTTGTTCTAAAGTGTGCTTTCCAACGCGGCGTTTTCTGGTGAGTTCTTATTTGTCATTTCCCTTGTTCTAAAGTGTGCTTTCCAACGCGGTGTTTTCTGGTGAGTTCTTATTTGTCATTTCCCTTGTTCTAAAGTGTGCTTTCCAACGCGGCGTTTTCTGGTGAGTTCTTATTTGTCATTTCCCTTGTTCTAAAGTGT